CGCCCCACCCACTAGGATAGTGATGGTGAACCTATGACACGCGTGTCAGAGGTGACACACGAACTCATTTTTTTTGGTTGATTTTTCTTTGTTAAATGGCATTTAAATATATAAAATAAATATCAAAAATATACATCTTTGTTTTACTGTGGTTGCAAATATCAAAAAATATCTATATGTGACACGGCACCAGAGTTAAGTTAGGGTTTTTCAAAATGCTGACACACCGAACTCAAAAGGTTCGCCATCACTGGTCTAAAGGCTTTAGAAATAAATGTTTCTTCTTTAAAAGGCAGTTAGTCTTTTTCTACACAGCCTTAAGATCTAATTGGAGATTCTTTGTTAAGCCTTACCCCAAACTATTTTAGCTGAAAAAATCCATCAGCTCCCATAAGAACTGGCCATTGGACCCTGCTTTGTAGCCCTCTTGCCCAACCGAACTCAGCTTAACAACTTTCTTCACTAGAACAAAAAACCTGAGGCTAGTGTGAACCAGCTTCATCTACATTAGAGTCAACAAAACCTCGGCTATGGTATATATTCTACCATTAGCAGGAATACTTGTTTGGTATCTGGCATGGTTAAAAGGCACATGGTATCTAGACTCTTTTGGTCACTTGCACAATAAATTAAATCAACTTGTGATAGTGACCAAAAATAAACTCAGAAATGTAAAGTCCTCTATGATTAACATAAAAGAAAATACCTCACAGCAGAGCACAACTTAGAGTTTAAAATTTAAAAGGCAGAGAGAGGCTGCAAAATACTAAGATTTCTCCAGCAAATGTAAATAGTAAAGATTCGCATCGAAAAAGGCAACTTACAAAGTTCTTTTCTTAGTTTAGGCTGACATATGGGGGGGCCCTTGGTGGTCTGGCCTCTATCTACTAATGGCCATGGTAACAGAGTTGTAACTAGATACCCAGCCTCCCTTGCAGCTTGGCATGACCATATGACTATATTCTCACCAAAGAAATGGGAGAGGAGGGAGTGAGCACCACTTCCAAGCCTGGGCCCTAAGATAGTGGGCATGTGCTTTTCCATACCCTTTCCTTCCCTCAAGCTGGACTGAAGTAACTATAATCCAACTTTGACCATGCAGACAAGAATAATGCTGATGGTAGAGCAATGGAAGAGAAGGGCCGAGACCATGAAAGAGCCTGTGGAGCAGAGCTACCTTTTCAGCTGGGCCGCTCACCTTGGGCTAGTAAATGAAAGAGATTAATCTTCAACGTTCTTTTAGCTACTGTATTTTATAGTCTCTTTGTTACAATTGCTTAGCTTTTATTTAACCAATAATCATACCTGTTCACTTTTTTCCACTTCTCCTCATCCTTCAAGAACTAGCTCGTCTGTGGAGTCTCTCTGCCATTCTTAGCATATCTACCTCGCTCCTGAGTCACCAAAGTCCTCTGTCCTTGTTTCTATTACAGTTCCCATCACAGTTCATTTCAATGGTTTGTTTACCCTATTGTCTCCCCTAAACAACTCAGAATTCTAAAGGCAAGAATTCATTATATGCTCTGTTTTGCACAATGCTGGGCACAAAATGTGCCTTAAAGAACCCTACATGAATAAATCAAGCTGGGAACCACAGACACTTTCCTAGATTGACTGAAAGTAAAGATCAGTTGTTAATATACACATTTGTCTGTTCACGCTCAACAGTAATAATGCTGCTAAGCGTTACAAGAAATATTTAAATCTTCCAAGGCAAATGGCCTTTCTAATAGAAATATGAGTAAAAATATATTGGTTGCCTTATCTAGAAGCCATGCTTCAAATGTAGATGAGTAATGAAGATAATAAAATAACTATAATTAAATGGAGGAAAGAAATAGCAAAAAATAACCTTTGATAAGTTCATCTACATTAGCAACAGTTATTTAAGATTGATAATTTTTATTTTAAATTAATATGATTATCCATGGTAAAACGTTAGTGTAGCTTTGGCCTCCTTCCCAATCAATTACCTTTTCAGTTTTTTTAAATAAGTGGCAAAAAGAAGTGCTATGAACTTTACCTCTGTCTGACTTCTGGCATGAATGCCACTGATACCAATATTGGTTTGATCCAAGTACCACAATGGATTTCATTATCTATAAAAAATACTGCACAAAAGTCAAATATAAGAAAAATATGTTTCAGACATTACAGAAAGAAAGGAAACTGTAGATGAAGCAATATGACTAAATACTATGAAGTCAAGAATTAGAAGACATTTCTTTGCATATATAAATATTTTTATCTGATTATTTTGAACCCTGTAGATAAATACTGGTGGAGTTCTTTTTTTTCCATCCATCTGTTTTATTGTGATATAAAAATAGATTTTTTAAAATTTGAACTGTTCTGAGATTAACTAGAATTGGACCTTTAAAATGAGCTTATGTTTCATTATCATGTGTTGTGCTCAGTGCTTTTTTTAAATTTTTTTGAACTCCAATAAGAGTTAACAGCTTTTGTCATGTTGCTAGTTTTGTCTTAGGAAGAGAAGTAAACAGGTAAAATCGCAAGTAATCTTGACACATGTATTCTATTCATTATAACAATTAAATTTACCGAGTTAGAGAAATGCTCTAGAGAATCTGCTTCCTCAAGTTTGATTTGGGTTGAAGCCAAAACATTTCAGCTTTAGTACTCAGCAGTATTATTTAGAAGATAAATTGCCTGATATCAGATTTTGGAAAAGGTAGAATTACCATCAAGTCTTGTTACACAACAATTCATTGGAGGGAACATACCCTGTATTGTTCAGTTTTTCTTATCATAAAAAAGGATTAGTACTAAGGAGAATTTAATTGGAATAAAATATCACTGAATTATAGTTTAGTGTAGCATTTCAATAATAAATAGACCACCTCCTTTTCCTGAAAAAAAAAAAAAGGAAAAGGTTTTATTTTAAGGTTTTACTGTGCCACTGGTATGTAATATATATTTAGAAATATGTTCTTACCATAAATCTTGTAACAGTAACATAGACTGTATGAACTAATAGTAGAGCTTCAGTATTGATCTTCTACTTCTTTTGAATGACAAAAATGATTTCAACTTTCAGTGTGGCAACTTCTCAAATATAAATTTGAGTGGAAGAGATTACATTCAACTAAAACTACATTATGAAGCAGCAGCAGCAAGGTAATATAAAGTACTTTTCTTGGGTATATTTGAGATCTGTACATATTTTTCAGTTTCTTTCAAGGTCTTGATTCAACAAGATTTATTAGCGCTGTCTTCTTTAAAGGAAAAAAATGGCTCTGTATAAAAGTTTGTGTCTTTCTGTCTCTAGAACCCTCATTTCTGTGCTCAAAATAACCACTGTGAATAAAAGCCTTTTCTTAACTTGGTTAAACTGAATTACCACAGAATTCTGGCCAACATTTGCTCTTTTCATGGAAAAACTCTTAATAGAAATAGCAGGCTTTCCAATCAGAACTTTATAAATGAAATGCTAAAGTGTGATCAAGGATAATATTAATGCTGAGATGTGGTTCACAATGGTTGAGTGAAGTGGCATGTTGAAAAGTAAAGAAAATAATGCATATCATTAAATAGGATGGGGGAGAACAAAAATTTATCTCAATTCTATTAATATTTTGGCAAATGGTGGTTTTATTTTGGCAGGGATTTTCCACATCACTTTGAATAGTTTTATGTTAGTAAGATTTTTACAAATGACCTGGAAATACATAAGGATATGAATGTTGGATGTGCAAGTCCTTGTTGAACACATTTGTCTTTCTCATGATGTAATATATCCATGTATGCATAGGTGCTTCGAAATAGAGAATTCTACATCCAGGATACAAGCATCCATTTTAGCACTACTCTCTTCTCCTCACTATTTGTGATTTCTTTCTTTTTTTATATTTTATTGATTTTTTACAGAGAAGAAGGGAGAGAGATAGAGAGTCAGAAACATCGATGAGAGAGAAACATCGATCAGCTGCCTCCTGCACATCTCCCACTGGGGATGTGCCCGCAACCCAGGTACATGAACTTGACCGGAATCGAACCTGGGACCTTTCAGTCCGCAGGCTGACACTCTATCCACTGAGCCAAACCGGTTTCGGCAGT